GCCTATCCGCCAAACAATTCATCTCAAATATGGAATGTCTTTTCCAACAAGTACTGTAGCCCATATATGACTCGTGGTCGTATCGCGAACTCCACTTTTTCCCTTGTACCGTTTCACAGAAGAAACCCCGTGGGTCTGGTGCAGCGCAAGGTTGGATGGGAATGTGTGATTTATGGTTTTTGAATAAGGAGAGCCCCTGCTTTTTTTGTTTTTTAACCTAGTCGAGACATTCTTCCTCGTGGAGATTCGATCCTGGCATGCTAGGGAGCTTATGAGGAGCTCCAACCACTAGGCTAGAGGCCCGTTCGCGTAAGGAACCTCAACCCACCTCGGTCCAACACGCGTACGATGCAACGCCATGACTCCCGCCCGGCTTCACATCGCCTCTCTTCTCTGGCACGCGACTCTCCCCACGGGCGATCCTCTCCCCCACGCGGCACAGCTCCTCCCCTCACCAGGCCGTGTCGGGCGCTGGCCGCCAGGGCACTAGGGAGCCAGCCGCGAGGTCGTAGGCTACCGGGCGCCATCCACTGGACTGCCGGGGCGCAAGAGCAAGCACCCCGCTTGGGAGGTGTCCCAACCGTGGAGGCGGCAGCCACCACAGGCCCCCTCCCCTCGGCCTCCTTCGCTCTACCCGTAGACGCCCTCCAGCGACCCCGCGACTTCCTCTGCCAACAGGTGCTCCTCCCCCGCGTCGGTGCCGCCCCACCACTCCCTCCGCCCTCCCCATGCTGCTGCATCTGGTGGAGAGGAAGCAGCAAGCCATGGGAGAATTTTTGGGCGCAAGAGCAGCAAGGAACAGTTACCAAGCCTTCTTTTTTATGGTGAGGGATGGTCATATGTCTTGCACTATATTTTCTTTTTGTTGATATGTAGGAGTGCAAGGAGGAACAACCCATGGAAATTAATGATCCTAACGGTCATGAAACTGTGAGCACCTTTGAAGTGAATCTACCAATGGCATGGTGAATCCCCTTTTATCATCTTTTCAGGATAATAATCTTGAGAGGATTACCGTGGGAGGAACCCTGCAAGGGACCGGAACCAGGATAGAAAACATGGACTAGGACAGAAAACATTAAAGACATCAGAGGTATGCTCCTCATGAACTGCATTGTTTTCATTTACCGAGTTTATTATTGTTGAATTATTCAGAGTGTTTCTTCAACTGCGTGTCTAGCATCAATGTTGCTTGTGTGTGAAAATAATAATTGTACCATCTAAGGTGAAAAAGAATAGAGTTCATTCGGCCCAACCTGTTAGTACACATTTGATTTGTTAGTCTCTGAAATTTCTAAGTCAACATTGATATTTTGCAGTATTGTCAAGATTTTTTTCCGATAATGATATTTCAGTTGTAATTTGCATATACCCGAATGTTGCCGTATAGCTTGAGCCCAGACAGTATACTAGTCACTTCAAAAAGGAACAATTAGTGATCCTATCATCAATTTTATAACTAACTATACCGAATACCATCCATAATATATGTTAGGAGTATACTAAACGAATAAACAAATACAAAATTTTATTAGAGTACTTATTAAGACCAATGTTTTAATTTATTCAAACTGAATAAAATAAACCTTAGAACTGCAGATATATATAGACATATATATGAGTGAAATTCCACGAACTAATCATCAGTAAATTAACGTGGGATGGACATCCGTACATATTCCTTTTTCAAATTTACAAATAAAAAGTATTCCGACCTCCTCTCACCACATGTGAATGAGTACAGTCAGTTTATTACAACCCAAAGGTATTTAGATCAAACACCACTGGACAGAACACAAAGGATCAAAAATTGACCCACAGCAAGATACAAGGAAAACTTAATTCTCTATCCTTCTTTGGCGACTCTAACCCAACTACACAAAGACTTCAATCATCATGAATTTCAATCGTATGCACCATTCACTCTTTCTTTTCTCTTTAGACAACTGAGACCAAAATGATCCGGTACGTCCCCCTCCCCCTCTGATATTATATACCCGTAGAAAAGAATTAGTTGTTGTTATGTTAAACACATCATCATCTCTACTCAACCATAAAGCCTAGCACACCGCGGCCACTCCCACTATATATTACTTGCTTACTAAATTATGGACCAAAACTCTTTAACCAAGGACCAAACAAAAGTGGACAGTATCATATAGTGGTTGAACATTAAAACTGATTTATTTATTTATTTGAGCAAATGAACATTAAAAACGATAAACAGGGCATTATACAAAAATCTAGCAATGTCCGGCCGGCCGATTGGAAACGTACATGGAAAGAAAAAATCAAGCTACTATATTGCTCTCGTACATTTTTATTTGGCTCCAGCCATCGTCCGGACTATATATAGACTCTGGCTCGGGAAGTATAGATGTACACTTTTGTCATAACGAAGATACCGCTGATTTCAACCCCCAATGAAAATGCCAAAAGGCGAAATTACCACGTTCCCTACGTCTTGAACGAATGAACAACCTTGAAATTTCAGATCCGATCTGGCCGTCGTCGTTGGGACACATCATGCGTCGACTCTTTTTCCCTTTTCTTTGTTTTGATCGTTCGGCTGATAAGTAATGACTGAAAATAGTGTTGACTGATTTACTGAAGAAAAAAAATATTATTCATTGACGAAAAAAAATACTATTCATTGAAAAAAAAAATACGGCTAATAATAAACCAGAGAAGTAAGGAGGCGACTCGGTCACGGTCAGTACCGGCACCAGGAGGCCGCACAGGTACGCCCGTCCTTGGATACGTACGGCTGGCCATGCTCCTCTTGTGGGACCCCCGCGGGCGGACCGTACGGAAAGTCTCCGCGATGCCTCATTCTTGACATGTGGGGCGGGCCCACTTGAAGTCACATGGAATCCTATACGGAAGCTTCCGCATCTAGGCGATTTTAAGTTCTCCGGCCCCGGAGAAAACATAGTCTTACGGATGAGGGCTTGGATCCCTCTTTTGTTAGTCTATAACGTCAGGTACCATTGCTGCGACGGTGACCAAATCGCGTGACGGTCCTTGGTTTATTTCTTAGCGGATTACTGTACATGTGTTTGGTTTACGATGACATTACTTGCGCCCGGCTGTTCGGACGGACGCCCGTGGCTACGGTCCGTTTCTACGCCTGACGTCGACATCTGCTACTCCGAGGAAACTGCGCTCCCACTTCGCGCCTCAGTCCGCTAGCACCCCCTCAGCTTTCCGCCCACGGCTCCTCCGCTTGCCGCATGCACATGCCACACGGGGACTGCCTGTGCCCCTGCCGCCATCACGCTTCCCGCACCCGCATGCACGGCGCCCAAGTAGCTGCAACAGGCGATTGTGACAGGTGAGTCACTTTGCAACATGTGCAACATCTCTAACGAATTTAAAACATCCAGATAAAATACTTGCAACATTCGTACAAAATAGCTGAAACACTTGCAACAAGCGTCTGAAACACTTGTAAAAGCATATGAAACTCTTGAAAACCATTGTAAACATACGAAACATCCCGATGAAATAGTTGCAACGTACGTGTGAAACATATACAACGTCCAGATAAAACACATGCAATGAATGTCTGGAAAAAACCAGATGAAACATTTGGAACATGCACTTGAAACAGACGCGTATAGCCATTGCAACATGTGCAACATCACGATCTACTTTGTAACATCAAGATGAAACACTTGCAACATCTAAATGAAACATTTGAAACACTTGAAACGTAAGCTTGCACCATGCATTGCTCAATGTCACCTTGCTGCTTGGACGAGGTACCCGAGCAGCGTGGGCACGCCAGCGAAGGAGAGCGCCGCGACAGCCAGGACCTTCCACACGCCGAGGCCGAGGTCCCCGCCAGGGAGGTCCGCGTTGATGATCATCCGGAGGAGGTCGTCGTTGTCGTCCCCCGCGCCGCTGAAGACGTCCGACTCGTCGACCACGCTGGCGTCGACGAGGGTCTGGAGGAGTGGGCATGGCGTGGCGGCAGATGCGCCATGGAGAGGGATGGGGGCGCCGAGCGGAGCGGTTTTCGGACGCCCGATGCGTTGAAGCCGTGGCAAGCGAAGTGAGTGGGGATTTTCGTTGGTGGGGGTTGTCGCTGGTTAGAGATGAAGGAGAGAGGATGTTGGGCCTGATTCGCCGCGCAGACCTAAGAACGGGGCGTGTGCATCGAACGCCCTAATCATAGTATTAGCATTTGGTTTATCAGGTGACCAGAGCTGCAGTGCAACACAGCATTGTACATGTCGACGGGCCATTGTTGCAATATCACAATTTTTCAAGGACCTATCCGCGAGAACTACACAGACATCATCCGCTGCACCCGGGCCTATCTATCAGTTACCTGAGTGACACTTCCAGCTTACTGCTTCCACCACCATTAAGGGCTCGTTTTAATCCAGGGTGTAAATATTTTGGTGTCACATCAGATGTTATACGGGATATCGTATAAGGTATTCGGATACTAATAAAAAAATAAATTACAGAATCTGTTAGTAAACCGCGAGACGAATTTATTAAGCCTAATTAATCAATTATTAGCACATGTGTTACTGTAGCACCACATTGTCAAATCATAAACTAATTAGACTTAAAAGATTCGTCTCGTAAAATAGTCACAATTTATATAATTAGTTATCTTTTAATCTATATTTAATACTCGTACATGTATCAAAATATTTAAAACAAGATAGTGCGTAAACTTTTGAGGAGGCACTGAACAGGACCTGATAAACACAACTCCTGTTCGCAACAGCCAAAGCTCCCCTCCCATTCTGTCTCCACCCACCACCCGCCCTCCCTTCGCCGCGCCGCCAGCCACCACTGCAACCAACCACTCTTCTCCCCCGCCGCCGCTGACCACCTCACACTCGCCGCAGTCTTCGCCTCCTATCCAGCTAGCTGGCGAACCGAAGCCTTCCACCCCTCGAGCTTCCCGCCGCGCGCTCGCCACCGTCCAGTCCACCCGCGGGATCCATCGGATCTCGCCCATCGCACGCACCACCGCGATGAGCCACGACTCCGGGTCCAGCGCCGGCGCGGGCGTGGAGTCCCTCTCGCTGGACCTTCTGGCCCACGCGCTGGCGGGCGTCGGGGACCCGCGGGACCGCAAGTCGTGCCGCCTCGCGAGCCGCGCCTTCGCGCGCGCCGAGGCCGCGTCCCGCCGCGCCGCGCGGGTGCTCCGCCGGGAGGCGCTCCCGCGGGCGCTGCGCGCGTTCCCGGCGCTGTCCTCGCTCGATCTCTCCGCGTGCGCGGGCCTCGACGATGCCTCCCTCGCCGCCGCGCTTCCCGTCCCGGGCCCCGGCGCCGGCGCCGCCGATCCGCCGCCGGGCCAGCTGCTGCTGACCGTCCGCCGGGTGCTGCTCGCGCGGGCCAGCGGGGTCGGGTGGCGCGGCCTGGAGGCGCTCGTGGCGGCGTGCCCGAGGCTCGAGGCCGTCGACCTCTCCCACTGCGTCGCCGCCGGGGACAGGGAGATGGCCGCGCTCGCCGCGGCGGCGGGGCTCAGGGAGCTCGTCATGGACAAGTGCCTCGGCGTCACCGACGTCGGGCTCGCCAAGGTCGCCGTCGGATGCCCCGGCCTCCAGAGGCTCAGCGTCAAGTGGTGCCGCGAGATCTCCGACATCGGCATCGAGCTGCTCGCCAAGAAGTGCCCCCAACTGCGCAGCGTCGACATCTCCTATCTCAAGGTAGCGTCTCAACCTCAAATTTGTTGTCCCAATCTCAAATTTGGTTAGTAGTGTCAGTAGGACTGAGGAAAAAAATTGAGATTGCTCTCATCAAATCAATTGGTACTGCTTGTGACCGGACCACCTGACTTCTCCGGAATTCGTAGCATTCAATGATATGTGGACTGAGTACAGCGAGTGCAATGTCCAGCGAGTGAAATGCTTAAATTATAAATTGTTTGTAGGAGTCCGTTTTCATTAGAAATTATTCTTATTATTAGTGTTTGGGCCGGTTCTCTCATGAATATTTGATGCATTTTCAGCATTCCAGCTTTTCCTTGCTGGTAAAGTGTCGTTGCTTCTTACAACAACAACAATAACAAAGAATATTTTGTCTCGACACAGCGTAAATCAGAAGCTCTGTGATCAGAAATGCTTAGCACCTTGACATTGCTTGGTCAATTCTTCTTTCTATTAATTTTGGCTCTTGATGTTAGAGAATTAAAGTCCATTGGAATTCCGTTGAATAAACTTAGGTTCGGTCAACAAATTTGGTGAATAAGACTACTAAATTTCACTTAGAAGGGTATGGTTCACTCTCCCATTTGACTACACAACATATACACACCTGCTATCTACCTACATTGTATATAGTATATACCTAATGTGACTTGACGGTTCTGATTGTTTCTTGTTCGTATCCAAGAATGCTCAAATTTCTTATGACTTGTTTCCCAGGTGACCAATGAATCCCTTAGATCACTCTCTACTCTTGAGAAGCTAGAGGACATAGCAATGGTCAGCTGCTTGTTTATAGATGATGATGGTCTACAAATGCTAAGTATGTGCAACTCGCTTCAGGTATAACACCTTGCAAGGATGCAGATCTTGTATGAACTTCATCATACTGTAAACTATGATGCCAGCTTTTCTTCCGTGCCTCTGTGCTTACTATATTTTCAATCTCACCTGTTTTAGAGTATTGATGTATCGAGGTGTAACCATGTGTCTTCTCTGGGCTTAGCTTCACTCATAGATGGTCAAAGATTTCTCCAAAAAATAAATGTCGGACACAGTTTGCATGTGAGTACAGTTCCTTCTTTGTCTTTCTCAGAACAAATGATACTGAATCCATGATTTCATTTAAGCAGTAAAATTGCAATTCCAGTGTTTGTTCACCTTCTGCGGTCGCACTTGCAGGAGATAGAGACTCATGCGTTCTGAGCAAATTATCAACAATAGGAGAAACTTTGACTGTTTTAAGACTCGATGGCCTTGAAATCTTTGCCTCAAATCTTCAGGCAATTGGTTCTACCTGCAAGAATTTGGTTGAGATTGGGCTTAGCAAATGCAATGGTGTTACAGATGATGGTATTGTTTCACTAGTTGCTCATTGTTGTGACTTAAGGACTATCGACGTGACATGCTGCCATCTTCTTACAAATGATGCCCTTGCTGCAATTGCCGAGAACTGTAGAAAGATTGAATGCCTTCGACTGGAATCCTGCCCTTTTATAAGTGAGAAGGGACTAGAGCAAATCGCAACCCTCTGTTCCCACCTTAAGGAGATTGACCTCACTGACTGTCGTATTAATGATGCAGGTAACTGAAAAATAGCTGTGCCATATTTTTTTATAGGAAAAGTTCATTCCTAAATTTGAGCTCATCATTTCAAAATCCCACATTTTCAGCTTTGCAGCACTTGGCAAGTTGCTCGGAACTGCTGATCTTGAAGCTTGGCCTCTGCTCTAGCATTTCTGATGGAGGCCTTGTTTATATTAGTTCAAACTGTGGAAAGCTTGTGGAACTTGATCTATACCGGTAATCAATGTTTATATTTATGCTTTAGAAATTATTTATTGATTAATCATTGGTCTCTAAACTAAAGCATGTTGTTTATCTTTCCCACAGTTGTAGTGCTATTACTGATGATGGGCTGGCAGCTGTAGCTAGTGGCTGCAAGAAGATCAGGATGCTAAACTTATGCTATTGCACCCAAATCACCGATGCTGGTTTGAAGCATGTAAGCGCTTTGGAAGAACTCACAAACCTGGAGCTGAGATGCCTGGTGCGCATCACAGGCATCGGGATCACCTCCATCGCCATTGGTTGCGCTAGCCTGATAGAACTGGACCTTAAACGCTGTTACTCTGTGGATGATGCTAGCCTGTGGGCTCTTTCAAGATACTCCCAGAACCTTAGACAAGTAAAGAACTCAACAACTTCATCTTCTCCTTTTGTATTTTGTGAAGCATCAGGGACATTACAGGTTGCTGTCCGGCTTGTTTGCAGCTTACTATCTCCTACTGTCAAGTCACTGGCCTGGGCCTTTGCCATCTGCTGGGCTCATTGAGGTGTCTCCAGGACGTGAAGATGGTTCACCTCTCCTGGGTCTCCATTGAAGGGTTTGAGATGGCGCTGCGAGCGGCGTGTGGGAGGCTGAAGAAGCTGAAGCTGCTGGGTGGGTTGAGGTCTGTGCTCTCCACCGAGCTGCTCCAGATGCTGCAGGCCTGTGGCTGCCGTGTCCGCTGGGTCGACAAGCCACTCGTCTACAAGGGATGAGCTTGAACTGGCCTGTCAAATCAAGGAGACAGGCATCCTTGAGATCAGTAACAGTGCCCAGCTGAGACCGCGTGGCAAGCGCGGAGAGCACCTCTCAAACAGTGCCCAGCTGAGACTGTAGAAGATCATGTAGCTGAGACTGATGGTGTCTATAACCTGTCCTTCAATGCAGTGTGCAGACTTTCAGAGTTCCCACATTATGATTACTGTCCATTTTCGGAACTCGTCTCTAACTGGCATTTTTGGCCTGAACTTTGTAAGATCACCTGCATCTGAAGTCAAAGTGTACCCCCATTTTGGTCCATTTTTTGCCTGAATATTTGCAAACAGTCCCCAAAATTTTCTAATTAGATCCCTAAACTGAATCGTATTTATTTTTACTGCATATAGCCTCTCATATTTACAACCAACACCCTGGTTGGAATCACAACTAATAATCGCAACCCAATAATTAAAATATTGCCCCTGCTTATTTACAAACGTCACGGACAACCAAACAGCAAACATTCAGCATTCTCAAGTTAATGAATCACAATTGTTCACTGAATTCTTTTATCTAAAATGTAATCCTGAAGTACTGCTAATACACAACATAACAGTAGTCGTTCCTTCAACCCTCAGCAACAAACACAGACGTTTCTGCTCTTCCTGCAATGGCTGACGATACAACAATCTGCACTAATCTGGATTCTAGCCTGAAGTCATAAGTAAGTTCAAGTTATCTATACTATCAATACTCCCTATCAATCTTCTTCCTTCCTGTTTTTTTGGGGTTCATCTACCGGTTGTCGGTGTCATCCTCATCCTCTGCAAGCTTGTCGATCAGCATCTCCATCGCCTCGATGTACCTCGGCATGTAATGGTCTCTGATCATGGTTCTCGCCAGCCGGATCTTGCCATACATGCTGCGAGGGGTCTCATAGATGGCAACTACCTCATTCTGGTGGCATTGCTCGCCGGTGCTCGGCTCTTCTGGTGCTGGTAGCTCAACCATGTGCATGATTCTGCCCGGAGGGTACAGCTGGTGAGGCTCCGGGGAGGCCATTTGCGATGATCGCAAGGCCTTCAGAAGCTGATCCATGTGTTCTTCGTCTGTTGCTTTCTCCTCTGGGTCAATCTCCACAGCATCTGATCTCTCACGGTTGAGTTCTCCAGGACAGCATGAGGCTGGTTCTACTGCAATTGTTGGCTTCTCAGTGTTTTGTTCAGTTCCTCTGTATGCAGACATCAATGCTGGAATGCCCTGAGTGGGGTTCACCAGAGACTCCAGGATTTGGGTATTAACAGCGACAGATGACCAGCAGGACAGTGCAGAGTGCTTCTGCACAGCGGCACGCACATTTGCGGAAAGGTTCAACTCATCCTGCGATGGCATGAGGAATCAATTCAGCGTATTACAAATAAAAACATCATAGAATGTATTTAGGAGACTCCACATCAATATGACAGTAATACAGTGAGTTTCTTCAAAGAACATGGTGTTTAGGGTTTACCATAGGAGTGTTGTCAGACCCTGTGTTGGATACAAAGGGAATGTGGGATCGCATGAAATTCACAGAGCTATTTACAAAACCCAAGATTCTTGTTTGCTGAATTTGTTCTTGGAGGTCTGGAGCCCATGACGATGCCATAACCTGCATAAGATTTTAAGACTAATGGGAGAAAGTGTGTTTCATAGTTCCAGACGTCACTACTACTTGAAGCTCAGTAAACACGGGGTACCTCTAACCTCTGTGCGAAGGTTGGCAGCTGAAGCTTTGCCGAAAGATGGCACCATGTCGTTTTTGTTGACAACAGAGGTAACGAAGTCTTTGCCTGACTCAGCCAAGTCCCAGGTCATGCAAGCAGCTGGACAGGAGCACTTCAAAGTGTTAGAATACCATAGGAGCACATCTAATAACAGGTGTTTATATGGCACATCATGCAACCAGATACCAAGAAAAGGGGAATGTGACAGCTTTGTTGTGGAAACTTATGATTGCTCCTACATAGTACTCTGTTTTAGATTAGCTACTTTTATATTTCAAAACTAAGAAATTATATCAGTGTAAAGTGTTGACAAGAATCCATGTTCTTAAGTTAGCATGCCATGATTTTTTATCTTTTACTTTTTTTTTTGTTGATACTGATGTGTTTGATAGCCAAATCTTCGTTTCTACTTGGATTATGTACCTGGTCCAAACGCAATACATGAGGCTGATGATAACTTATTGTCCTCGCGTAGCATGTATGTTAATATCGCAGCAATCCCAGCTCCCATTGAATGCCCAATGATCTAAAATTAGATTAAAATAGTGCAGTTCTGTTAGCCAGAAGCAAATTCGAAGAACTACTTATTTACTTTAGCTTCAGATATGCAGTATTTTCAATTGAATTTTCCTAATATTGATTGCTTAAGAGGACAAACAGACACATTATTAGTCATATTGTTTTTTTTGAAACGGATTATTACTCATATTAGGGTCACTGAGTTCCTTTTAAACTAAACAACCATACTAGGTGATTATTTTTTTCGGTTAACCAAAATAAATCATAATAACATGTGTTGTTTGACAACATAAATTAAATCCCCACGCGCATCTTTTATGGTGTACACTGATAGGATCAGAAAAGAGTGTTAAATTACCTTAACTCTGTAGTTTGGGAATTGTTCGACTGCTTTGCTTAAGCATGGAATGGCCTGATCTGCAATCCAACGAGCGGCAGCAACCATTCCACAATGCACATGTCCAGACACTAAATTGGATCTACGTCCATCTTGTAATAATACTGAATGATGGAATGGAACTTCTGCAGCAGTTGCGGCTGTCAGACGATCCTTAGTGCTGGTCGCTCCCCGAATGAAAAGGAGGAAGGATTTGGTACTTTCATCACGGACAACCGTGAATGCAGGCTTCATAAACTGAATAGAATCACAAAGTTCTATGAGGTATCTCCACTTGCAACGTATGCTGTAGAACATCAGCTGGCTCAGGGTAATACAAACCTGTGATTTCGACTTCCTTATGAGAATATCACTCTGTCCATAACCACCAAACTCTAGGAACACTTCATATGGCTTCTTGGAGAAGAACATGCAGAGTCTGAGGTATCTGAGAAGTCCAATCAGCTCCTGCCTTACTCCAGGACCATCCAGGGGCACACAATTGCTGCCAGTGTACTCATGCTGCAGATTGCCCTGGAAATAAACACTAATGAGAGAATGCTTTTCAGTATTTTTTTTTGAGGAAACGAATGCTTTTCAGTATCATGCATCAAAAAATGTTACAAAGCAGATGGCCAAAATCATGAGTTTTCACTAACAAACCAAATGGTGATTCTTTACATCTCACCAGAGATTTAACAACATTTTAGTCCCTTTCTAGAAAACTGTCAGATGGACAATCAGCCAATAAAACTGCATTTTTCTGTAAGTAAAAAATTGGGAAGGCTTGTATTAGATTTGACAAGTTCAATAGTAGAAATTGGAGAGAAGCAAAGCTAGAGATGGTAATTGGTCAGAAAGCCTAATTATCCTGAATTCTTTAGAGCTGTCAATGCAATAAGTTAACTGACAGAACCACGGCCGGCCCTGAGGGCCGGCAAGCGGGGCGGCCGCCCTTGGCCCCAATCTCACGGGCCCCACCCCACGTATACACTTAGTACGTAGCTTTATCAATATAAGGCTTGGTTGGCTCGTTAAGGCCCACGGCAGCCTAGCAGATTGGCGTTCGCGATTTGTTTGTCGACTCTGCGACTGCGACTTCTCATCTCAGAACCAAATTGCAAATCCCAAACACAACGCAGCAACTGCGACGCGATCATCCAACTCAACGGCGGCGCCGCGGCGGGCAGCCAACTCGGAGTGAGACTTCAACGAGACGTACGTACCTTCCTATGAACTAGGTATGCACTAATATCCGAACTCCCCCAAACCACCCCCAACGGGCTATGCTAGCGCCTGGATGTCTGGACAGGACGCCCGCGCAGCCTGCCCCCGTGCGTTGATGCTGATTTTTATTCCCGCCCCACACGCGCACCCACCCTGTGGCAGCACCCACGCGTCCAGACGACTCGCCTCACCCCAACAGCACGCCCTGTCCGCCTGGATTCGAAGCCGCCCGCCTCGTCCCGCACGCCCACCCGCCTCGTCGTGACCCAACCGCCGGCCTCCAGCTTGCCGCAGCCCATTCTCCGACACCCGTGCCGTGCCACCATCACTCCCTGTGCCCATTGACTCTCCAAACAGTATGAAACACATGCAACATGAAACATTTGAATGCAACATCCGTATGAAACGGTTGAAATATTTAGAACATATACTTGCAACATATGTGTGAAACATATGCAACTTCAGATAAAATACTTGCAACTTACGACTATGAAAACATGTACTGCAACATAAGACTGGAACATTTGGAACATATTCTTGCAATATGTGTGAAATATGTGCAACATCCAGATCAGAACGCTTGCAACATACGTCTGGAACAAATGAAACATTTTGAACAACACCTCTGAACCATTTGCAATATGTGCAACATCCCTGATCTACTTTTGCAATATCAATATGAAACAATTGCAACATACCTCTGAAACACTTGCAATATGTGCAACATCCTTGATCTACTTTTGCAACATACCTCTGAAATACTTGCAATATGAACAATTGCAACATACCTCTAAGGCCCCGTTCGCGTGCCCTTAAACCCGGCTTGATCCGCTTCTTTTTTCATCTGGAACAGTGTTTTCCTCTCACAAATTCCTCCAGATTCATACAGATTTCTCCAAATTCCTCCAAGCGAATGGGGACTAAAACACTTGAAACATACACTTGCAACATGAGCTTCCATCGCAATATCTCCTTGCTAAAGTCGTGCGTCACGGTGGCAACGGCGTCGTTCATGTGTTTTTTCTCGAATACCCAAAAGAGTTACGTGGTTCACGTGTACATGAGGATCCCAAAATTTTGTTTCGTCCTGGGCCCCTAAAAATCCCGGACTGGCCCTGGCAGAACATATTCTATTTGGCAAACCTCGAATGACTGAAAAAAGATGGACGTTCTTACAGAAGTTCCAAGCTACCATAACCCAAGTTTTGCTAGCTCTAATTAATCATCTTTCACTAATCCATTAAGCATCGATCACTCAATGTACCTTTCACCTTTTCGGAAATGATCGAGAAGGCCAAGTTATTGTTTGAATGTAAACGAGAAAAAGAAAATCCCAAACAAAAATCTCGCAAATTAACCAACTTCATATATTAGCCCTGTGATTAGAAAAAGGAGAAACTGCAGCAGGGCAGACCATGGTCAAAGGATCTAGAAACTACGCCACAAAGTCGTTCTTTTTATCCAGTTCCTCCTTTATTTTCTCGACAGAAACAAGAATAATCAAGCAGGTTTCACACAATATAAGTTAAATTCTTTTTTTTTTCTATCTCATCGTGGTTGAACAAAGCCACATTTCTATCCGAGCAAGAACACACGCACCACGCGCCGCCTTCCTACGACGACCACAGCACCTGGATGCGCATGTAGTGGTTGATCCCGAAGGCGATGTCCCCGAGCGGCCACTTGCCAAGCGTCTCGGCGTACGCGAACCCCGCCGTCCTCGACAGCACCGCCACCGCCTCCCTCCAGCTCGCCGGCGCCCGCTCCGGCCACCTCTCCGCCTCTCCCTCCTCCGCGCTCCGCCGCCGCCGCCTCACCGCATCGGCGTCGTCGCCGGACGCCGGGGAGAGGCGGCCCGAGAGCGCGACGTACACTAGGGCCGCCGTCCCCGCCGCCGACGCCACCCGTTTCGCCCCCATTCCTCTGCGATCGACGGTGGTGCGCGCTGCTGGGAGGCGGGAGCCGGTGGTAGAGTGGAAGCGTGGCCGGTGTGGGCGCCTAAAATTGGGAGGACGGGTAATACGGGATGGACAGAATTACCCCTAGTTGCTAAGTTCTCAAAGATTTCTTTTTTCTTCTTTTTTTTTGTTTTTGATTTTGAAAAGTTCGATCACATTTCATTATTGGATACAGTAATTTCGCGAGGTTCTTCCAAAGTGTCATTTTAAGGGTTTGTCTGATCCAAGGGCTAATTACTAGCAAGCTAAAATTAAACTCACTCTTCACTCAAATTAGTTGTAGTACATCTAAATAAGAGGACTAATAGGTGAGCTAATTTTTTAAACAAATCTACAACTTATTGTTAGCCAACTAGTTAGCTAATTATAGCTAATTTGAGTGATTATGAGCATATACATCCTGCTCTTATGAGCATATTGGAAGAACATGACCGACAAATCTAAAAAATGATGAAATTATCTATCGATGGGCATTTAGAAATTGTTTGTTATTTTTTTAAACATGGTACAGATGCTAAAAACATGTTTGCTCATGCAAACGGTGCTCGTGCGCTTCCTACCACTGTAAACGCCTTGAAGAGTAAGTGGATAATTTCTTTGTGTTTAATTATATAAGTTTGTTATGTCCTTTTTTAATACATAGTTTATGCCACTATGCACCTAGATAGACAATTATGCCTAAATACATAATAAAAGCTATAAATTGTAGAAAAGATAAAATGACTTATAATCTAGAACGAATGGAGTAGATCGTAGAATTGACAAAGCGTCATATGTATCACATACCGCTGATTCGTGACGCTACAACTCAAAAATAATTAGTCCAAAAATCAGAATACAGCCCTGATACATATTGGCTATTGGGGTAGACACCTCGGTACCAAATGGAAAGTCGTTTTGGTTTTCTCCACATACATATTTTAGACATATTCTACATTTAGATACATATAGCAAAAGCGATTTACTTAAACAAGTGAAGACGACTATGAATGGAGTATTATTTGAGGATCACACCATTACCTGAGACACTCACAAATAAACACACTATTGCAACCTTATGCAAATCGTTAGAGGCTGCAAATAAATAGAGCTCTCGCATCAGACTGTACGAAAACTCCGCACGCATGCAAAGAACCCCTTTATCAGCTTGCCTTTAGATTGGAGGGCATTTTGGGGAAGCCGACTTGAGGGAATCAGCGCGGGATGCCAGGCCTATTCTTGGTGAATAGGATATTCCCGTGGCGTGAGCTGGAAGATCCTTGGCTGCCGCAGCTTTGTGCAGACTGATTTGCAAAAATGGGACTCGAAACATCGATCGTTTGTAGATTTGACACTAGATCCATATTCATAGACATAGATAGACCCACTTATCATCCGCCAAGTGTCATCATAGTCAAGGAGTCAATCTTTCGAGTGACGTGTTTGGAAGTGCTGCTACTCGAAAATTTTCTGCTTTAGTTTTTCTGACTTGTTGATGACTTTACTAAAAACGAACTCAAGAAAAGGCATATTACCCACACTGTGGGAAGAGACCGATGCTGAAAAAGGAGCGAAGGTCGAAAAAGAATTGCAAAAAGAAAAGAGAGTCGAAAAGAGGCTCAAACAGCGAAGCATTAGTCCAGTGCAGAGGCTAACACACACCACGACACAGGGCCTAAATTTTCGGCCGGATGTAGTACAGGTTCCAATTAAACGTTTGAGACATGGGACTATACAAATAGATTTTTTTCGTCGACGCATTTTTAATTGTAAATCAGTTGGAACTTTTAACTGTCGTCAGATATGGCATCAATATATATAGTGGTCTAGGTCGTTCCCTTGTAACAACCTTTGCCTCTTTCGTTCCTCTTCCTAATAGCCCTCCACCCGGCACACAATAACGATGTTCCCTTGTAACCATTCGAAAACTTATATATAGCATGTCCGACGAACTTTTAGTTCGGTTGATGTTACCAACTAGGGATATAAGGGGCCTCCGGTGCCGTAAAATTTAGACCGGGACTAATGCTCACATTAGTCTCGGCCCCAAACACGACCAGGATGACTAAAGGTGTGAACCGAGAAGCTCATTTGTCGAATGATCATACAAAATGAGTTATCATGAGTACTACCGGGAGCAGTTCGATGACACACGGGTTCATCTCCTGACGCAAATGACCAAACACCACGGTCAGATCCGGATATATAGCATCAGATCATTGCGCATCAATCGGTCTAGCAAACCAAACACACGCTGTTAGATTACGAGGTGTATCATCTTGGGTTTAACTCATAAAAATTTGATGAAATGGCTTCGTTTATATATGCTTATACTAATTGTTAGTTTCTAATGGATAAGGTGGTGACTGATTAGTCCATTCCATCCATTCATAATCATAAATAGAAAAAATCGAAAAGATGATGCCCACTACCACGTTTGTTCTTCATTTCTTCTCAGACTGAACATCTCACAAATGTGGAAAACACCCAAGGTCCTTACTGTGGCCAGTGGTGATCGTTTTTTTTTTAATGAAAACGACAAGAAATTATGTGACGGCCTTGAGTGTTTCCACATTATTGATCGGTGTGCTGAGCCGTCACTGTTTGTGACGGCCTATTACCAGCCCATGAAGTTCATTAAACGCTTGGTCCGCAAGGCATCCTCCCTCCATCTCCCAACAAAAAAGAGAGAATTTTCTCAAAGAAACAAAAAAAAAACAAAAAAAGAGAGAGAAAATGGGAAAGCAGGTCAATGATTTGTTTCAATCCTCTTATATAGGGAAAAATGATATAATTTGTCCGAAGGACCTAAACGTGTATGCATGTGCCTAATAAAATACAACGTGCATTATGTGCTGTACCTGTAGCATGCATGTATGTAGCCATACGGCCGGCTAGTCCAATGGAACTGCACACGTGTCTTACGACCAGTGGCTAAAGCAGAGGAACCACCACAATTTTTGTTGTATCTCTGGTCGTTGTACTGGACAATAGCTAGTCCTTGATTGATTAATGAAGACTATGATAAAGAATCTGTAGTGCAGTGCCCACAAGGATGATTCCCGCCGGCCTATTGCCCTGAATTTATGCTGTCTTTATTTGGTAATTTTCCTATACATTATGTGCTTGATTTTTTTATTATTCTAATAATATGTGTTTTGTCATTTTCATTACAAGAAAAACTATAATTTTATTATGAGTTGTTCTTTTAATTAAACTAATAGGTTATATAAAATTATCGCCTAGAATCATCTAAAAATTTAGGCATATGAAATATAGCAACTCTCATGTTGCCGACGACATGCAGCAAGACCCACGTTGAGCCGGCTGGCTCGGGCAAACGAGAATCGTTTCCATTTCTTCTGGGCCTAGCTCGTGGTCACGGAGACGGAGTGCACATGTTCTGGCCTGTATAAGAGAGAGATCACGAGCGTAGCTGCGAGCAAGAAAACTATCACCCTCTGTTCCAAACTACAGGTCATTTTGACCTTTTTACGTACATAGCTTATTTTATGCGCCTGATGTACGTTCGAGTCCAATGGGACTCACTCTGGGACTCACTCTTTATTTGTGGCTTCGGCTGCAGGCGACCAATGGGGAAAAAAACTTGCTCGCCCCGCCCCACATCCAAAAAATCTGGTCCGTGACCAGCTCATCTCACGGAGCTACGGTGGACGTTGTGTATGGGTGGGATAGGGGTTTGAGGTTTTTTCGATCTATGTGATAAGATCTTGAGCCGGAATATGCAAAGGCTGTCTAGCCACCGCGGATCAAGTTTTTTTATGCACCTGATGTACAGTATGTCTAGATACACGCACATAAAAGCCAACACGACCTATGCATCGGAACGGAGGGAGTAGCCATCAAACAACTGATCGATGTGTTTATCTATTATTCAGACAACCGAATAGGCAGACTTCCCTGCAGCTGCAGGTCACCAAACTAATCAGGCCCTATACATACATACATACATACATACATACATACATACATACATACATACATACATACATACATACATACATACATACATACATACATACATACATACATACATACATACATACATACATACATATACATATATATACATATATAATAACATACTAGGTACATATCCGTGCGTTGCAACGGGAATAAAATAACCACAATAATTTTTAGTTTAAACGTGTATTGTATTACTACCTCTGTTTCAGCTTATATTGTTTATGCTTGTACTCCATAGCTTGACATGACACAATCTATTATATTATATTGTTTAGCAGCTTATAAACTTTTGATAATTGGATATATAGTACATTTGATATAAATCTAATCGTATCAAGTTTGTATTACAATTGATAATTAAAAAATATTTGAAGTTATTGATCAAAGATGTTAATGTTTGAATGTTATGTGCCTTATAAAACAATATGGAGGGAGCATTACTAAAAAGTGATATTTTGAGTGTGATGCTCGCAACATTTTGTTTTGCAGCCATAGTCACTATTACACGAGTCTTCACAAAGTTTAAACAATTAGCACATAATTGAAGTTTTGATGTATGTATATTGTAAGGACCTAGTTATGCTATAATAGTCGTTTTATACTACAAGAACCGCGCGTTTGCATACAACTATCCATTAAGGATATTGGTCAATCTACCTACCTCGCCATCACTCTATTGATGCCTTCTCCCTCCTATCTTTATTACAGTAACATCTTCCGCAGTCATGACCTCACTTAGGATCTGCCCATAAACAATGCTCGGCCATTGCACTTTGTTGCAAGATCTTAAAGCCAATCGAGCCAATGCCCAAGTTGATCGGCCTATTCATAGTTATTCGGTTTTAATCCCATATAAGATGTGAAAGCCCAAGACCGAGAAGGCCGAACCCTTACTCCTCGATGATCAGATTTGTGTGAACTCGAGGGCATTCGGATGATCGACCCAAGATTACAAGCACCTAGGGAGAACAAATCGGCTAATCGGGTTGCTTAGTAAGAAAATCTACAATCTTAGAGAACAAATGATCTCGACCATGGAAAAACACAATGAGTTAGTGATAAGATCGAACATGACAATAAATTTATCATTAAAAGGTAAAAAGATTGAAAATCTGAGATCATTGGGGGTGGTAGTTCTTTTACACCGTGGAGGTACTCATGTTGCTAAAGCACTATGAAACCTCATAAACTTAAAGGTGGTTCCTCGCTCTATATGCAAAATCTCACACACCTATTGCGGTTTTTTTTGTACAGGAACCGTGGCAGGTGTCATCCATTAATAATGATTAAATGAACAACTACCATTGATGTTATGAACTATGAAGAGTTCCCTAAAACCAATCAATCTCGCAAACTTGTTCTTTGAATAGGTTGCATCTTTTATTCCTTTTAGACAAAGTACAAGTATACAAGAAACTTAAGCATCACAAACTTATGGATATTCAAAAAATATAATTTAGATGTATGACCGGTCTAAATAAAACACGAGAGATCGATGCATGACACGCATCAGACTAATGCTTATGCAATGCAAGGGCTTCTTCCCCATGGTGTAAAAAAAAGCGGCGGGAATGAGGCGTGCGACTATATAATAAACACAACAATAGGAGAACAAGATCATCTTTGGAATAGTATGGAAGACGAGCCAGCGGCCACCAAGGACAACAGAGCATGGCGACACGGTGTTGCGGTGCACGAGCTCGGCGCCGCCGATTCCTCCTCCAGAGCGAAGCGCAGTTGCAGCAGCGGAGGCGATGAAGAGGCTATCATTGATACCGATCCGAACGGTGCCGATGAAGGCGCCATCTTGATTACCATGTAACCTATCATGGGAATACGCAAGAAAGGGACCAACCTTACGTAGATGTAGATGATGCTGGCCTTGTTCCTCACAGAGGGCCGCCAATTAGCTAGCAGACCGGAGCGGTGGAGGCATTTGAATGCTCGCGTCCACCGCTTCCTATTGTCGGGTAAGCTTCGATTTGAACGGTGGAGACCGTGATATTGCTGCTCGTGTTCGGTACATGGTTGGTCGGTGTCGTGTTGGGTGCGTAGATGCCGATCGAATGATGGGTGGACGAGCGAGCGTGATTGATAACTATGTGAGCAGAGCTTCACCTTCGGGAGCAATAATGTTGTGATTGATGCCAAGATGAGATCAAAGGAAGACAATCCGTTTCCTAATTAGTCGTGATCTCCTATCTCCTAATTAGTGTGATCTTGAGGAGAAAAAATGTTGTGATTGATGTCGGCGAGAGAAGGAAGGCAATCCGTTTCCTAATTAGTTGTGGCATCTGTTGATGGGCGAGGCAAAGTGATGATCGCACAAGGCTTCCGTCGGGCGATATGCACGTGGTCGGACAGCGTCGATCAGCGTGATTGAAGGGAAATTCCCTTGATTTGGCTCTTTCCTTCCATGCACGGGTGGGATTTTTTTCTGCGTGATTGTCTGCTTGCGTGGTGAGGGGTTTGCCGAAATTTCCTTTTCTGCGCCGAGTAGTCATGGATCACATGGTGGTTTTGGTGTTGCCGGCACGACTGGAAACGCGTGCTTTGCCGAGGGCCAATTCTCGGGCACTCGGCAAAGACACTCTTGCCGAGGGCGACCACGGGAGAGCCTTGGCAAAGAACGGCCCTCGGCAAAGAGGCCTTTGCCGAGGGTCCGGGCCTCGGCAAAGACAGGCCCACGGCAAATCAAATCTTTGCCGAGGGTCGCGGCCCTCGGCAAAGATGCCCTCGGCAAATTAGGCCCGTTGGGTCTCGGCGGCCATTCCCGTCAAGCTTTGCCGAGGGCCACTCGTTAGGCCCTCGGCAAAGGTTTTTTCCTGTGAAACCAGTTTTTCGGTAATTTTTTTTTAAAAAAATCTTTGCCGAGGGCCCTAGACCAGGCCCTCGGCAAAGATTTTTTTTGAACCAGTTTTTTGGCCATTTTTTTTATAAATCGTCTTTGCCGAGGGCCCGAGGCGAAGCCCTCGGCAAAGAAGCCCTTTGCCGAGGGCCAGGCTAGGCCCTCGGCAAAGATTTTTTTTTGGTTTTTTTAGCCCAGTTTTTTTGTGGTGCTACAATACATTGTTTTGAACTCAATTTTAAAATTTAGGCCAATTTTGACTTTTTTTGTACATTTCCTTAATTTATTTCGATTCTTTGATTTTTTTCGAATATGTCAAATTTGAACTGCAGGTGCATGGAATATTGCAATGTGGTGTTTCGAAAAATATTATTCATGTTAATTGGTGCATGTTGAGTCCCTATCCACGAACTCGCATCAAATTTCGCGCATCTTCTTCGCGTAACATGACGACCGACTTGCCGGAAAAGTGTTTTAAAATTATATAAAATCCATACGAAGTACGAAAATCACGAAATTTGGCGAGATGTCATGTTATCGCATGTGTAGGCTGTGGTAAAAAATTGAGAAGGTTGCGATCACATGTGGAGATGTCTGGGTATTAGGCATCCGACGTCACAACTTGCTCGAAACCTTCTCAATTTTTTACCACAGCCTACACATGCGATAACATGACACCTCAACAAGTTTCGTGATTTTTGGACTTCGTATGGATTTTATATAATTTAAAAACACTTTTCCAACAAGTTCCTCGTCATGTTACGTGAAGAAGATGCCCGAAATTTGATGCGAGTTCGTGGATAGGGACTCAACATACACCAAATACCATGAATAATATTTTTCGAATCACTAAATTGCATTATTCCATCCACCTACAGTTCAAATTTGAAATATTCAAAAAAAATCAACGAAAAGAAATAAATTAGGGAAATATATATAAAAAAATCAAAATTAGCCCAAGTTTTAAAATTGAATTTTAAATAATGTATTATAGCACCACAAAAAAACGGGGTTCAAAAAACCAAATTTTTTTTTTGCCGAGGGCTCAGCTTATCCTCAAGCGAGGGATATTCTTGAGGGGCGCGTACTAAATTACTTTCAGAAAGAAAATTTAAAAAAAAATAAAAAATCTTTGCCGAGGGCCCTGGATTTGGGCCATCGGCAAAGGGCCCAACCTTAAATCGGCCAGCGGCCTGGCCCAAATTCCCCGCCCACATTTCATCCGCCGCTGCTGCGCGCCGCAGCCGCTGCTCGCCCCGCCGCCGCCCGCGCCCCGCCGCCCCGCCATGAGGAAGCGCCTGGAGCCCCGTCTCATCTGGGCGCTGGACACCGCCTCCGCCTCGCCCGCCCACCTGTCGCCCCCATCGCCCTCCTCATCCCCGAAGCCGCCCCGCCCCGCGGCACCGTTCCTCGCCGTGCTTTTCCGCCGGGGCCGAGTGGACGCCGCGGCGCTCCTCAACCGCTGCCTCCATGGGACGCCCGTCCCGGAGGCCCGCTCCCTCCTCTCCGCGCTCCCGGACGTCTGCGACGCCGTCTCCTACAACACCGTCCTCGCCGCGCTCTGCCGCCAGCGCGTGGGCGGTGGCAACCACCTGCACCAGGCGCTCTCCCTCCTCGCCGACATGTCGCAGGAGGCGCACCCGGACACCCGCCCCAACGCCGTGTCCGACACCACGGTCATGCGGGGGCTCTGCGCGTCGCGCCGCACGGGGGAGGCCGTCGCGTTGCTCCGGTCCATGCAGGCCAGCGCGTCTGCGCCGACATCGTCACGTACGGCACGCTCGTCCGTGGGCTCTGCGACGCCGCGGAGCTCGACGCGGCGTTGGAGCTGCTGGCTGAGATGTGCGGGAGTGGTGTTCAGCCCAACGTGGTCGTGTACAGCTGCTTGCTTCGTGGGTACTGCAGGTCCGGCAGGTGGCGGGATGTAGGCAAGGTGTTTGAAGAAAGGTGTTTGAAGAAATGTCCCGCCGGGGGATAGAACCGGATGTGATCATGTTCACTGGTTTAATCGATGACTTGTGTAAAGAGGGAAGGACGGGTAAGGCTGCAAAGGTGGAGGACATGATGGTGCAGCGGGGGCTGGAGCCAAATGTAGTGACATACAATGTGCTCATCAATTCCCTGTGCAAGGAAGGATCGGTAAGGGAGGCGCTTGCATTGAGGAAGGAGATGGATGACAAGGGTGTGGCACCGGATGTTGTGACATACAATACCCTGATCGCAGGGCTTTCTGGTGTGCTTGAGATGGATGAGGCAATGGGTTTGCTTGAGGAGATGATTCAGGGAGATACTGTAGTTGAGCCTGATGTGGTGACTTTCAACTCAATTATACATGGACTATGTAAGATCGGTCGGATGAGACAAGCAGTCAAAGTTCGTGAGATGATGGCCGAGAGGGGGTGTATGTGTAACTTGGTGACTTTCAATTATCTGATTGGTGGATTCCTTAGGGTTCACAAGGTTAAGATGGCTATGAACTTAATGGATGAGCTGGCTAGTTCTGGATTGGAACCTGATTCATTCACCTATAGCATATTGATAAATGGCTTCAGCAAGATGTGGGAAGTTGACTGTGCGGAAATGTTCTTTGCGTACAATGAGGCAACATGGGATAAAAGCCGAGCTATTTCACTATATTCCTTTGCTTGCAGCTATGTGTCAACAGGGAATGATGGAGCAAGCTATGGTTCTGTTCAATGAAATGGATAAGAACTGGGCTCGATGCTGTCGCGATATAGCACAATGATCCATGGCGCTTGCAAATCAGGGGATACGAAAATGGTTAAACAGTTGATTAAGGATATGCTTGTTGAGGGTCTGGCTCCTGATGCCGTGACATATTCAATGCTAATCAACATGTATGCAAAATTAGGAGACCTAGAAGAAGCTGAGAGGGTGCTTAAACAGATGACTGCAAGTGGCTTTGTGCCTGATGTTGCTGTATTTGATTCACTGATCAAAGGCTATAGTGCTGAAGGCCAGATAAACAAGGTTCTGAAATTGATACATGAAATGAGAGCCAAGAATGTAGCTCTTGATCCAAAAATTATCTCGACCATTATCCGCCTTCCTGAACAGACGCCGCTGCTCTGGTCTGCCACCACCGCCTCGGTCCCTCACAGCCATGGGCCATCAATATTGCAATCAGCTCCACCATCCCTCACTCCCGTCCACCACTATCATGTAGCCTTGACCAGTCGTGCCCTGTGAGTGCTCCTGCTGATCCTCTTGTAAAAAAGTTAAATATCATTTCCTTGGACTCAGCTTGCCTGGTTCCTGCCCATGTGTGCGTCTTCTTACCAGCAATCCTGTACAAGGGCTATCATTTTCCGTCTTGGCGTAGTCGTAATCACTTCGATTGATGTGTTTCCTTACAATGTTTATTCATGCGTAATGCCTCAAAATAATGCTATCACCAAATATTCTGGTTTCTTGAACCATTCTGCAGTTTTTTTCTCACTACTTGTATCTGTGTGTTTTTTAATCTTTCTTGATTTACCTGTTCCAAAATATCCGGCCGTCTCAACATATATCAGTCTGTTGATGGAAATTGGAATTGAGAATACATGCTATTGACATATATAAAAATCGGTTTACTGTTTGATTAACTAGGAAATAACTGAAAATTAGCCTTACCCTCGCCTGTGCAATGCGAGGAGACCGCGACTCGAACCCGAGATCTTCCGGTCACAGGCGGTAAGACTCTACCGTTTGCACCAGGCCCACCCTTCCCCAGACCCCGCACAGAGCGGGAGCTCTCTGCACTGGGTACGCTCTTTTTTAGACACCACAGATGGATCTGGTCGCAAATGTGACTAGCTTGCTAAGGAGAATCTGCTGAAGCTGTTGTACGACTACTACGCCTCTGGCACAGGACATCAATTGACTCAAGGAGAACAGAGACGTCCTCCAAAATTCTGTAAGCTGAGCTACCTTCCATACTAGCAAGTTTTAGCTGTATTTACTTGGTAGAATACTGTTGCTTGAGCTGTTATTGTTTTATTCACATTTACTACAAATATTGACCACTGCAAAAAGCACATATTCAGTCCTTTAACTCTCTTTTTTTATTTCAAAAAATAACTACATCATAGCTTTTTCTGGTATCGGACATCATAGCTTTTATACTTTTAAATTTTCGAAATGATACATTTGAGTTTTCGATTAAGTTGTTTAGCCACAAAAGATAGCATAAAAGAAAACAACTAAATTTGTGTCTTGAGAAGAAGGGTAATTTGGCTTTTTCGATGTCTATTGGCCAAGACTATCAGAATATGATCAGAAATGGCGTGAAAGAGATTGAAATTTATATGTAGTGGCATCGATAAAATTTGAGTTTTTTAGTGACAGATGAAAGATACAAGTTTTAACGAATGACATTAGAGAAAATTCCCTTTCATTTTCAGTTGGTGTGCGTCATGACTACACTTCTGTCATGCAATGTTCAGGGTCCCACTTCAACGAAAAACAACCAGCAACTGGTATAAGCTGCAGTTTTTGAGGAAAGGTAAAAGCTACAGTTTCATACTTCCATGGTAATCTGCATAGGACCCAGGGCCCGACGACCCTGGGCACCTGCCCGGGCTCTCTAACGCGTGTCGGCGACCACCTGACACAGGACAGGAGAGCCAGCACCGCAGCTCCGGAGAATGCAGCGTCTTGATTATGCGATATCTAAGTTTCAAAACTATTTTTTCGGATTACTCATACATGCAATCTCTGCTCCTTTGTGTAGCCTCCATCCATGGGTTTCAATCATCCCGGTAGTGCGTTACCGGGTGATCCTGCCTTTCCTTCACCACCGTCTCATAGGCTACCTTGATGAGGACTAGTGCTAGGTGATGTGGTTAGACTTTATTATAATATTTGTGGTTTATGGTTCTGACTTGTGCTTGGATTTCATGAACTTATTGTAATAAACATGTGAATGATGATGAACATGTGACTTATCGTTGTAATATATTGTGATTTGTGGTTCACAATTATGGTTGTGATATATTGTGAGAAAATGGGTTCTGTGTGATATATATATGTGATGGTTGATATATATATGAAATGCTTGTGTCGATAGAATACAAAAAAAATATATTAAATTTCTACCTCTTTGCCGAGGGCAATGACCAAGACCCTCAGCAAAGAAGTGTCCTTTACCGAGGGTCGTCCCATTGCCCTCGGCAAAGATTCATTGCAAATATTCTGGAACATTTCTTTGCCGAGGACCATGGTTGAAGGCCCTCGGCAAAGATTTTTTTAAAAAAAATTAAAATTTCTTTGCCGAGGGCCTGCGGGGAAGCCCTCGGCAAAGATTTTTCAAAAAAAAAGAACAATTCTTTGCCGTGGGCCGTCCCATTGCCCTCGGCAAAGATTTTTTGAAAAAATTCTGCAACATTTATTTGCCGAGGGCCATGGTTGGAGGCCCTCGGCAAAGATTTTTTTTTTTAAAAAAAAATAATTCTTTGCCGAGGGCCGTCCCATTGCTCTCGGTAAAGATTTTTTGGAAAAGTTCTGCAACATTTCTTTGCCGAGGGCCATGGTTGGAGGCCCTCGGCAAAGATTTTTCAAAAAAAAGAATAATTCTTTGCCGAGGGCCCCCGGAGACGGCCCTCGGCAAAGACTCCATCTCGAAGCAATCGCCGTGTGGGTGGTTGCTTTTCTTTCCGAAAGTGCCGCTCAGCCCTCGGCAAAGGCTTTGCCGAGTGCCCGATAAAGGGCCCTCGGCAAAGACCCTCTTCGCCGACTCAAAATTCCTCAAGAGCTCTTTGCCGAGGGCCGTCCTCGGCAAAGCCTTTGCCGAGGGTTAATGGGTCAGGCCCTCGGCAAAGAGGCCGTCTCCAGTAGTGCGGGTAGACGTTGACAGGCAATAATGCATGCAACACGGTGGGCGCATAGACGATCGATGCTGTGATCGATGTGGACGTGTACCGCTTCCCCGGCCCCCCTCTGGGTTTCAAACTGCATCCATGTGCGTGTGTAGTGTGTACTCCGATCCTTTGTGTTTCTAGATAGGTATAGCTAGGCTGGTGATGCTAGCTGCGAGCGCGAACGTACGTCGTAGCTAGGATGGACTGTCGTCGCATCGGGAGACGTTCATGCAGAGACGTTTGTTTGCGCCATGCATGCGTTGGCAGCAAGCACATGCCCGCAGATTCGTCTCTCGCTGCCTCCGGCACCAGCAGCTACACCTAGCGCACCGGGTCTCCCCTAAAAAAAAAAAAAAAAAACAAGCCGCACCGGGTGGATCCATCAGACGATTCAGACCATGCATGCATGCGGCCGCGGCCACCGTCGTTGTCGTCGGCACCGGCGGCGAGCGCGGCAGCCGGAGGTCGGAACGAAACCTCCACTACTCCATCTTGCATTGGCTGCATGCTTTATTTGAAACCCGTTCAGATCGCTCACACGAATAGAATACGGCGGAAGACTCGTACGCGCACTGCCTCTGCCTAGCTAGTGGCCGGCAAAGCGAGTGGCAAAGCCCACGGCCACGTCGGAGCCGGCGGACACGCGCCGGCACGAGCCTGGAACGCACAGCTGTCGTCCCCCACGGCCCAGGGCTTCGGTGACGCGACGGCCACGGTGGGAGCAGAGCACTGCGTGCAGCAGCAGCTGGGGTCCCTGGGCTACTCGTCGTCCCCGGGAACCGACACGTGGGGCCAGGGAGGGGAGTGCGAGCGGGCCGCGCATGTGGCCATGGGGGGGTGGGGGGCCGCGTCGACAGGCTTGTCGGGTCCAGGTCCGGGCCCGCGGGTCGTCCGGCCGGTCAATCATGCCCCGTTGGCCGTTGCTGGCTTGCTGCTAGCTACTCACTACTCCGGAGCCTGGAATTGCTCGCACGCCGCTGTCTTCTCCGCCTCTCAAATTCTCGACACAGCTCCGTGGTTATCAGTTCCCATTAACGTTTGCTAAAACATTTTCTTATAGTCGATGAAAACATGACCATATATAATACTCTTTTTCCTTTTCCTTTTCTTTTTCCCCTTTATTTTTCCGTCCTCTTCCACTTCTTTAATTTGGAGATGTTCGGCTCCAAAACAAGTTGCTGCAGCCTACGACTGCAGCGTGACGGACAGATGAAGAAAGGGGATATCTCTGTTTTGACCAAATATTCTTCATAGGGGACGGATCTTATCCTCGATGCACACCATATGGCCTCGTTGAACGTCGAAATTAAAGTACAGAATCTAACGTTAAACCTCAAAATGTTGGACATGCCATGCAGATCCAACGTTCTCAAGTAACCCTAAAATAGATCTGAAAATGATGAAAGAACAACGATAATTGCATCACGAGTACAACATAGGTGGCAGATTTATCACACAAATCTTTGATTCGTCATGTATCCTTGCTTTCCTCTCTGTAGAGTTACTACCCCCTCATGGAGTGTCACCCCTCAGATAATGGCCATAATTGGTCATTTGCCGATGAAATCAACGTCTATAACGAATCAAAGTCATCGCAGGAAACAATATCCCTACCAAAAATCATCTAAACCCTAAACAAACTAGATTAAAAAAACTGATATAAAAGAGATGTGTCCTCTTTCTCCTTCTTGTCAGTGGCATATTCACTGGAGAGGAAAATAGAGAGGGCCCTAGACTGCGGCGGCAGCGGTGAGCAAAGTCACCTGGGCAACAACTACCTACGAGATATAATGTTGATGAGATGGCATGCATAAAAACTTTCAAGTTGGGGCTGCCAATCCAAATGCTGAGGACGAACGTACGGATAATGGTTGTGTAAGACAATAGATGTCCTCTAATGTTGCCATTGCAAGTGACTTGGGGTGTGCTTGGTTCCAGGTTTGCCGAGTGCATTTTATCAAGCACTCGGCAAACAAGCTCTTTGCCGAGTGCTGCAAAAAATACACTCGGCAACCTAATAAAAAACACTCGGCAAAAAAGAGGCACTCGGCAAAAAAACCGCCACGTGGACATCCGTCAGTTAGTGTGCCGGCCGTTAGGAGTTTGCCGAGTGTCCGTTAGTGGCACTCGGCAAAGAAGTAAGGTTGCCGAGTGTTTTTCTTTAGCACTCGGCAAAGAAATAATTTCGCTGAGTGTTTTTTGGCACTCGGTAAATAAATAAGTTTTTTTCTCTTATGACCTTGAAACTTTTTATACTATCCACATACAACATGTGGTATTCCATGTTAAGATTTTGTATATTTCTAGATCTGTTTGCTATATTTAATTAATTTATTGCTTTTCTAGGAA